AGGAGGAGGAGGAGGAGGAGGAGGAGGAGTAAGCAACAGACTCAGGCTACAGCTCTCAGAACCTTAGGCCCCCAGACACTGCCTATCCCTCCTGGACATACCTCAGTCCCAAATGGAAAACTACCTTTTTAACATAGCAACATTGTAGGACAAATTTATATGACATCACTTCTCTAAACATCTCTCTCCAAGGAACACACATTGTTCAACACAACCTCATCCAGGCCTTATAATAATTCCCCAGAATTCAGCAGAGAGCAACTCAGGTGTTTATTGAATTCCTCTTTATCCTGCCTCTTTTCCCAAAGTGGATTTGCAGATAGGATGACCTCTGCACTAAACAAATGGGAATAATGTGGGAACAGGCCATTCTCAGGGTCACATGATAACTTTGGGCAGTAAAATGGATGGGATCTCAGGTCCTATTATACTAAGTTTTGGACTCACTGAGTGATTATTTCAGCTTCTGCTCCAGACGACCAACTATCTTCACTCAGGTGCCTGGGATGGGCTGAGCTGGGCTGGACAGAGCTGGAGTTGAGCTGGGGCTGGGGTTGGATGGGCAAAGGCTCTGAGTACCTCCTGCTGAGCTCAGGAGCACAGGCTTGAAAAGCTTCTAAAAATACCAAGCACGGTTTCTTGCAGGGGGGCTGATTCAGCTGACCTTTCCTAAGGATGGCCAATTTGCTGACTTGGTACCAGGGACCAGTGGGCAGAAAACCTCCAGCTGATTCTTGGGCTGAACTGAGGCAGAATGGGAACACCCTCTCAGTCCCAGCATCCCTTACCTCATCCAGTGGGGATAAAAAGAAAGTCTACTAGAACCCAGAGCATTTACCACAGCAAGGAGGCATCAAAAACTTGGTCTCTACGTCAAGCAGCTCAGGGTCTGCCAGATGGGATGAGGACAGCAACAGACCATCACGTGGGATATAAGAGGGAGAGGTTCATTGTCATTGTGCAGAGCTGAGGGGCTGCAGCCCTCTTTATTCATTCATTTGTTTGTTTTAATTTATTCATTCATTCATTTGTTGGGCACCTGTTCTGGGTATGTGAGATCCCATGTAGCAGCCTCAGGACAAAGATCCTAGTAACTAATTCTGGTCCCACATGGGCCTCCTTTTCCTCATTCGTAAAATGACCAGGTTTAAGCTGAAGGACTTCAAAGTTCCTCCTTGCTGACAGCCCAAGACAGCTGAGTCCAGGCTGCTGTCTAGGGCTCTTTTCTTACTCGGATCCTGAGTTTGCTGGTACCACTCATTATCACTGGTGAGTCTCTCAGAGCTAGCTCTGCTTCTGGTACCCTCCCATCCCCTGGAAGGAGAAGGAAAAACAGCCAGTCATACTTTTCAGGTGTCTTTGCCCTAGACTCTTGGTGGAAGACCCTCCCTTTCCATTCCTAGTGAAGATGGTCCCTGGTAGGTTTAGCCCATCCTGGCAGCATGCCACCCCATCACCTGGGATATAGGAGGGAGAAGAATCTAGTCCCCACCTGATGGCTCATGGTTTCTGATCCAGGGCCAGGAAGGACAAGGACAGACACATGTAGGAGCCATAGCAGATGCTAGATCTTTTTCACACAGCTCCATGGCCCCCTCTGAGGTCTGAACTGACCCCCTTAGCCCCAGTCCATCATTCTCCCCAGCTTTAGGGAGCCAGTGTTCTGCAGACAGGCCTGGAGCCTGGCTGGGGTAGGACAGCTGTCTGCCAGAGGATGGAAATGAACGCTGACAGCTCCTGATTTATGCCCTTGTTATCCTATAAGGGAGACAGGGAGGCAATTTAAAAGGCCAGCAGCATCGTGGGAAGCCAGCAAGGAGCCGCACACCACCTGGAGCTGCCCAGGGCCTCCCTAGCCAAAGCTACCTTTGGCTACCTACGAAGGCCAAGAGGCCCTCTCCCTGCCCCATCTGAAAGGGAGGGGAGGGAAAAGAGAGTGAAGCCCTAAACACCCCCCAGGGCCAGGTGCTGAGCAACTCCTTGGCCCACATGGGAAGGTCTATCTCATCGCCCATCTTTTGCAGGTGAAGAAGCAGATGTCTAGAGAGAGAACTTATTTGCTTGTGATTACACAGTGTGGAGACCAAGAGCAAACTCAGATCTGTCTCACCCCAAAGCCCACCTCTGCAGCAGCCACGGAGCAGTGGGGTCTAGTGGAAGGATGAGGGGGAGGGGAGGGCTTCTGCTGTCAAGGTAAAGGGCAGATGGAAGGACGGGTGAGACCAGGGAAGAAGAAAGAGGGAAGATAGGCAAGGAGAAGGATGGTGAGAGAAATGTGCCAACAAGGTGAGAAGAGGGTGCAGAGGGGCTGGGAGACTCGTCCGCTCCAGGTAGACTGACTTTCTGCTCAGTGGCTCTGGAGAAATGGATTGAGCCACGAGGAGAGAACAGGCCTCCAGCCCTCATGCTCAGCTGTTCTCAACCTAGAAATGGAGGGGAACCAATGGCCAGAGCCTCCCTGGGGCTGGACCAAGCCTCCCCCCTCCAGGGACAGAGGAAAGGACAAAGCGGGTGTGGCAGGGGAGGGCTGGTCCAGCTCCTTGTTAAAAATGGGAGAGGAAAATACAGCAAGGGGTGGAATTCAAAAACTGACATTTTTTCAAAAGGTATCTGTGTTTTCTTGTTCTTTCCTGCTTTACAAAACCTACAGAACTCCATGCTAAGCTCCATCACCCCAAATCTGTTTTCCAGAATCCAACCTATCTCCCTTTCCAGGTTTCTCTGTCATGAGTTGACTCCCTGTATAGGCACCTGGGCTCCAGAATGCTTTGTGCTCCGGTTTCCCCTTCACTCATCTACAGCATCATGATCCCACCCACCCAGTTTCAGGATCCAGGGCATCGCCCTCCTCAACAAGCACCCGGCCCATAAGTTCAGAGGGCCACTACTACAGGCAGAGATTGCCAGCTCAGCATCTATCACAGCACAGTTCAGAACATTCCAGGGCTCAGAGGTAATCCTGTATATTTCTGTCTCCCTCCTAATCTCTAGGCTCCTTGAAGTCAAGGCTATTGTATTTGCACAACTCAGTACCTAGCAGGGGCTCCATCAACATGTGTTTATCTAATGCACATTGCATTAAACTAGGAAATTAAATCAGAAAATAATGTTTCTTATTCTTTCCCTTCCCCCACCTTCCATCCCAATCTTTCTTTGAGGGCTAGCAACAAAACTTGCAGACTGAGCAGAGTGGTCTTTGGACAGAGTTTTCAGTTGAAGGCGAGCATGAGTGCACAGTCTTTCTCAGTGTAAACTCTGCGCTTCTACAGAAGGTCATTCTTTAAGTGGGCCAGAAGAGGCTGCAGCACTTTGGGATCCTGCACATGATCATTGGGAAACTAGCCTCGTGTTTCTGTGGGATCTTTGGGCAACTTGAAAGGAAGTCAAAATTTCTGAGAACTGAACTAGTAACCACAATGATTTCTTTTCCCCAGGGGATGTCAGTTGACATTGAAATTGGGAAAGTACTGTGCCCAATGTCAACTTTGTCCATCCCAGAAGAATAGGGTGTTTGCAAGAACAAGACCCAGTCATCTAGTGACCATGTGAGCACCAGTGTTGACAGGAGCTACAGGAAGTGATAGTTCTCAATGTGGAATGGACTAGGGGAGATGCCAGGTTAATTTCAATATTCATTAGAAATCCCAGGGGGAAATGAGCAGATGCCAAATGAGAAAAGAAAGAGCAAATCCATTCCAAGTGAGACAAGAAACTACCTAGGCTGCTGGGCTCGGGGTTGGGGGGGATTGCAAACAGTGCTGAGATGAAGGACCGAGTGAGTGGCAGTCCTTGACATCTGCCCTGCACTGTCCTTCAGCAAATCTTTGGCTGAGGGATGACTACAAGACTGGCCATGTTGCAGAGAAAGAGAGAGATGGATGGGAATACCAACTAAGGTAACCCATGTGTCCAAGTTTGCCCAGGACTTACCAGATTTTAGCATTGAACTTTCCACCTACCAGGAATGATCCAGAGTAAACAGAGGAGGCTGACACCTTTATTTTAGCAAGAAGATGTTGGGCAGGACCAAACAACCTCTGGTTTGGGGAGCCTCATAGTGCAGTATGAGAGGTGAAGAGGAAGCTTTTAGGGAGGGCCCATGTGAGAATACCTGCCACCAACCTGCAGGTAATCATGCTGAGGCTCAGGGAGGTTGTTTGACTTGCTTGAGATCACACAGCTAGAATTTGAAGCCTGACTCCTTGCTGACAAGGGATAGGAGAGAGGTATCAGAAGCCTTTCTATCTGAGCTTACCTCCCTTATGAGCCATGAGCACACTAAAGCTCTGCTGCTGGCCCTTGTCCTTACCCAGAAACCTAAGGGAATTCAGCTCAATTAGCAGGCCTGGGCTCAACGAAGAGATTGGGCACAGTACCACAGGGCCAACAGCAGAGGCTGAGCTGTGAGGCCACTGATCCTTACAGCTGCTTGAATTTTTGTCTAAGTGGTCCTGAGGAAGCCCTGAGGTGCAGAGGATTGGAGAGACACTTGCTCTTGGTCTCTGAAGCCCAGTAGGAAATGTGGGGGCTTCACACTCAACCCCCCATCCTGGGCCTGCAAACCTCTGGGGCACTCACCCACTCCTGACATGTCCTGTTGCTCAAGAGGTCATTTCAACCCAAGTAGAGCGCTCAGGCCTTGTTTTCTCCAGGATAATGAGCTCCCGGTTCTTTCAATGGTTTCTCCTGCTCGCTGGTTTTGAATCTCCTCCTTGACTTGTTTTCTCCCCTTGGTGTTTGTTTCAGCATATTGTGTCATTCAGAAGACAGCCCCGGCCGGGAGATGACAATAAAGATTGTAAAGAGACAAAGGGAGAAGGAACAGGGGTCAGTGTTTCAATATGAGCTGTTGTTAATTAATTCCCAATAAAGGTCCCTAGAACAGAATGGAACATTCCAGAAGTAGTCGACCAGAGCAGACCAGAGCTCAGATATTCCCACTGAACTCCAAAGGTTAGTTTTGTCTGTGGCAGACTCATCTCATTGATCAATCCTAGCAATAAACACTGCAGTCTCCACAGGGGCAAGACTAAAGCCACGCCTCCCCCCTCCAGTTGGCCTTTACCTAAGACTTTCCTTGTATTCCTGTTATACCATCCCTCACTGATTCACCCCTTCATTGTGTTGGTCCAGATCTTTGGGGATTCCACAAATTATCCACCCCTTTCCCACTTCATGCCAGCTTATAGTCTAATTACCAGGTCTCATCCAAGTCTTCAATAAAATTACACACTCTACAGAGTTTCAGTCTTTGCCAAAGAAAAATACCCACCCAAGTCACTTCTCGGCCTCCTTCTGCACACCAGTTGGGTACTCTGAGCCCACCAGCCCAGGGCCTGCCCAAGAGAGATCCCTTTGCATTTTCCAGCTGGTCAACATTGGAAGTCCAAACTGTTCCCTAAGCTCTGCACACCTGGGAAGTTAAGCCCAAAGGCTAGAGCTCAAGCATGTGGGCATTGTGTCACTCCTCTTCTGTGTGGATGTGGGGGGCTTTCTTCATCGATAGGAGATTTCTTGGCTTAGAAAGATGCACCCAGTACATCATGGGCACCAGTGGGTGTTCATCAAATGAAGGAAAAGGTTCAACATACATGTGTGAAGGTCAGAGCTAGGTGTTGGCTTCAAGGGCCATCCTTCCTTCCACAGGTCACTGCAAAAATCCCTAGGCAGAGACTATCAGCATTCTTAAAGATCTCGGGGGGCAGGGCGGAGTTTATACATTCTCTTTGCAGCCCACAGAAAATACTGAGCTTATCCACGAATTGACTCATTCTCTCCATCATTCACTCACTTATTGAGCATATACTATGTGCCAAGTCTGGGTGGATGAGGATATAAAAGTGATTATAAAATAACCTCCAAGAGCTGACTATCTATTGATAAGGGGAGCCCATGGAAACAATTCCTTTCTGTCATATGTAATGTGCCTCCAATGGGGTGAAGTGAAACTGTGTTGAGTGTCTATGGAAGGGACAATTCACCTCTACTTGAAGGAGACAATATTTTAGCAAAGATGGAGATAAGGCTTTAACCTAGTTGTTCTAATCTTCTAAGGAGGAAAAGGTGAGGCAAGTTCTCTTTTCAACCCATCCCAAATTCCTAGAAGTGGACACAGTCCTAGTCTATAAGGGACACAAGCCTTAGTGATGAGAAATAATTAAGTTTTCCTAGCCCCTCTGGCGTTCTGAATCAGCTCTCGGTCCACACTGTCTTGTGTCCCAACCCACAGAGGGCTTCAGGCAGAGCCCTTTCCTGTAAGCAGGGCTGCGACGGTTCCTCCAAAGCCCCAGCAGGGCCTTGGCTTGCATCTAGCACCACCTACCGGCCGTAAGGGGGAAAGCAGAGGTCGAGCTGCCACCTCTTCCCTAGGACTCCTGAAGTCCTAGCTTGGCCGGGTTGCCACTCCCTGATTATCCCCCTGGACCCTCATCTTTCCATCCAGGGGAAAAATATTAACTTCGAAGGTGACAAGGACATCTGGAATGAAACAAAAGGCTACAACTAGAGCAGTCAGCCCCACGAACAGAGTCTGTCCCCAGGGGTGTGAGAGAAACCAGACTGAGGGCAGAGCAGGATGGGTGTTGGGAAGGAGGGCCACGGGGGGCAGGGGTGGTGGGCAAAGTGAAGAGGGTCAGAACCAGGCAGTAGAGACATGGAAGATGACAGAGGGTTCTATGGGGTCTTGCTGGAGAAGCACTCAGGGTCCCAGGAAAGGGTTGCATGGTCCTTGCAGGGGTGCTGAAGCAGCTAGATGAAGGGCTTCCTCTTGTACCCAGATGCTTCTGGACAGCTCCTCCCAACCCTTGGACCTCTGGAAGCCCTGCACTTGCCCACAGCTACCCCCAGGGCTGCAACTGGAGTCAGGAAGCACCCTTCTTAGTGCCCAGCTCAGCTCTGACTCCTCTTGGTTGGGGGATAGCAGTGAATTTTGGAAAAAGACAAACAGAGAAGGAACAGGGATGAGGGATTCAACACAAGGTAATATTAAATGAATCCCATGTAAAGTTCTCTATGCAGAATTAAATTTCAACTTAGCATCCTTCTCTTTGAATCACTGGCTTGGGAATTTCTATTTAGAAGACAGCTTTCTGAGCACTGGCAGTTGACATTCTCGATGGTCCATGCCGCTTCTTCCAGAATCTCCAGAAGGGCTCACATCGGACCTGCTGCCCACAGAGAAGCAGGTGGAGGTTCAGATAAAAGCTCAGGTTTTGGGATCCGACAGACCACCTGCTGACTTCAGGCAAGTCACTTAACTTCTCTGAGCCTTGGGCTTCTCCTCTTAAAAAAAAAATAGGGACAATGATACCATCTCCTAAGGAGTGGTAAAGCACACGAAACACTTAGCACACCACCTGGAAGATAAGTCCAATAAGAATTGGCTGGAAAAAAAAAAACAGACAGAAAAAGACTGTAGGCACTTTGTCACTGAGGGCTTTGCATCTCCCTGCTTGGAATTCTAAGGCAGGGCTCAGCAGCCTCCCGTGGGCGAGGGAGGAAAGGCGGGGGTGGAGGCCTATTCTCACCCAGGGAAGATTGCTCTTGGGGTGGGTGATGACTATGTGCCTCACCCACTGGGGAAGGCGCTCAGTGAGTGAACGGAAAAAGCCAGCACCCCTTTCTGCTGCATTCATTATTCAGAACTTCCCACAGCCTGATGCCTGCTCTGGGTGGGTGTGAGAAGCACCAGCCAAGCTCCAAAAAGGTTTTGTTTTCCCTGCCCGAGGTCCGGAGGGCAAAGCCAGTGCACACAGAGACTCAAAGGTGGGTCACAGCCATCTCCCGGAACTCGGGGTCTCCAAGGGTCCAGGTGATGGGGTGACCAGTATCCAAAGAGGAACTAGGGTTTCCCAAGGATCTGGCTTTAGATCAGTGCTTCTCAAACTTCACTGTGCATGAAAATCCCCTGGAGGGCTTTTTCAGACTCCACAGATGACCAGTACTATCTCCATCCCCATTGCCTGAGATTCTGATCCAGTAGGTTTGGGGAAAAGAAAGCCCCAGACCCTGCATTTCTAAATAATTCCCAGGTATTGTGGCTACTGGTTCTGCTCTGGGGCTATGCAAGTTTAAGTCAGTGGAAATTTGATTCGATTTCAACTTAAAATACAGTTGCTTGGTGGCATTGGTCAGCTTTCGGAGACAGTAGCCACTTGTGGCTGATGGCTACCATGTTGGATTGTACAGATAATTCAGCTGCTCTCCAACAGTGCTCTCCAACAGCACTGCCCTGAAAGTCTGTCCAGAGTGGTAGCCCTATTGAGGGGAAAAAATGTGTGGGGGAGTAAAAGGAGGTATGGAGCTAAAGCCCCAAGAAACTAAGGCTTTGTAGGAACTTGAAGAATGAATGAGAGGAATATGGGCCCCCAAAGGCTCTTCAGAAGAACCGGGGTGTGATTGCAGTGGCAGCCTCAGCTCCTTACTGACCGTGATGGAGAAACGTGAGAGCTATGGGCACACAGGGTGGGATATTTTTAAAAGCCAGCCTGGGGGTGTCTGAGGAGTTGAGGCTAAGCTGGAATCTGCAGGGAGAATGAGTAGAGAACCAGACCTCCAGTATTTTTTGCTCGGCTGTGATCCGCTCGCCCACGGACCTGCAAGTATCCATGCCACTCAGGATGTGGGCAAGTGGTTGGGTTTCGTTGTGTGGGGCCGGGGCAGGCGGGAAGGATAGCTTAAGTGCCAGGGAAGGAGCCTGAATAATGTCATGTCTCCTCCAAGGAGAAGCATACATCTAAGTAGTGAACAGATGGCCCAGCAAAAGGGGTTAAGTAAAGAGATCGCTGCGAGGAGTCTTGTCACTCGCATTCAAGGGAAGATCCAGGAGGAACAGACTTTGGGTGGGTCAGAAATAGCAAGTGCCAGGCAGGAGCAAAAGCCGCCTTCCCTGCCCGCACCCGCCCCCTACACACCCTCTCCCTCTGCCTGTCCTCTCTCAGGGACAGACAGGGGCTTCTGCCAACAGCTTTCCAAGGGAGGTGAGGGGAGTGCCTCAGGTTCTGCCCTGTGTGTCTCTCAAACAGAAAAACAGCTCCAGCCTTGAACACAATGGGATGGGAGTGGAGGGCGTGGCTCCCAGCCTGCAGCCTGACTGTGCTCCGATTTCTCCTCCAAATGTCCCAAACCTGACCCCATACCTCTCTTTGCTCTTTCCCTTTGCTTCTCTTCATTCCCCTTCTGTTAAGGACCCTGCCAAGCACACCACCCACTGCCAGCCAGTCTGGGACGCAAAGCTACTTGGCTAGACTTGCAGAGACCTGGAAGGAAATGAGATGCGAAGCTGGGTATCTACAGGAGCCGGCTCCCTCCCAGGCATGCGCATCCTCATCCACTCTTCCCGCTTCCTCCTCTCCACTTCCAGCTGCTCTCTCCTATGCACCTCCACGTCCTCCTTCTCCTATCACACCCTTCCCTTGCCTTCTTCATCCTTCTCTGCCCTTCTCTCTTCCCCTGCTCCCCAGGCCAGCCAAGTTCATTCCCAAGTTTTAGATCTAAATGGAGCTTTGCTCCAGGCCTGCCTTCCGCCCCTCTGCTTCCAGAGGTTCTGGGGACCAGTTTCCTCTCCCAGCTCCCCTTCAGGACACAACAGCTCCGTCCACCTCTCCCAACTGACCGGCTCCTTGCCTGCAGCCTCTGTCTACTTGAACTCTTCATCTTCAACCTCTTCTGACTGTTCTGTGGCCATCCCTACAACCAGAGTCAACAAGTCATTCCAGATTTTTCTTTTCATTTTCTCCACAGTCATTATCCCTGACTCCAAGGTAAATGGACTGGACTCTAGTTCCAGCATCCTTTTGTCTCTTTTGTCTTGTCAACAAGCCATATCTTGTCCATTTCTCATTTTTTTTATGTTGGATAATTTTTGGAGTCTATGAAACACAGATTTTTGTGATGCCTTAAAAATTATATATATCATTGTATACAGAATTGCAAAGTGCAAAAAGGAATTACCTACCAACTCAAATTCAGGGCCTCTGGGGAACTTTGCCTAGGTGGACTTCCTTCTGGAATTCAGTAAAGAAACTGTCACCACCTTGGGGTGAGGGTAGAGATGCCATTCTGATAGAGAGATAAAGGGGACAGGTGTCTCTGAAATTGTCTTTAGGGATTGACTTCTTTTTGGGGACACCTGAACTAAATTTTCTCATCCTTGTCACTATTGACATTTGGGGCCAGATAATTCTTTGTGGTGGGACTGTTCTGTGAATGGTAGGATGTTTAGCAGCATCCCTGGTCCCTACCCTCTAAATAGCAGTAGGACTTCCTCCTCCTTATTGTGACCACAAAAAATGCCACCAAACTTTGCCAAATGTCTCCTTTGGGGCAAAATTGCCCCTCACTGAGAACCACAACCTGAACACAGGTTGTTTTCAGGAAACAGGGAAGAGTTTAGTGACTCTGGACAAACTTCTATAGTTCTGAGGAAAGAAATATGATTTTCTTGGGCCCAGTAGAGGCCACTTCCCAGTTTGAGACCCAGACCATTGGCCACTTGACCTCAAGAACAGTGACAATGACAGCTGTACATTAAGCTTCATCAAGTTCCAGGCATGGCACTACAAGGACATCCCATGCATCCTGCAACGTTACCAACGTGGAGGGGAGAAATGGAGACATTGGGAGGTTGAAGGGCTGATGGAGTTAGCTTAATCTTGCCTCCATTTTGAATGTTTGATGCTTTTTGCCTTGGTGACCTCTCTGTAGAGATGAAAGAATGCAGAACAAGTACAAAGCTCGAGTTACAATTCCAAGCATGCAAGATATTTGCAAAATTAGTACTAAAACTCTCCATGAGGTCCCTCCTTCCTGGTTGGCAGAAATATAATCCTCCTTCTGCCCCTCGCCTATGTTCCCTGGGTTCCTGAGTCCTAAGTTGGGTCAAGACATCATGGGAAGAAAGGCAATGCCAGGGACCCCGTTGGACATCTGCCCACTCACATATTCACTGTTTCTTTTTATGTGGCCCATTTGTGTCTGACAACTCACTGTTTCGGTGTAGTGCTTAAGGCAAGGGACTCTTCTTTAAGGTTATCCATAAATCCATGTGACATGCTATATTTTCCAAAGGAGGCCACAACAATATCTTCCATTCCACATATTCTTTTTACCAGTAGACTTTTTAAACTCTTCCTATTGAGAGGGGACTGTGGCAGAAGTGACATTATGTGACTCTGAAAGGAGATACAGCTCTGCCTGGTTCTCCTGGGAGGCTGTGGAATCTAAGCCACCATGCTATGAGGAAGCCCAAGCAGCCACATTAAGAAGACACATACAAGTGTTCCATGACTGTTCCAGCTGAGGTCACAGCCAGCAGCCAACCATCAGTGACTGCCAAACATATGGCTAAACATATGATTTTGGATGATTCAAGTCCCTGCTGGCCAGCAAGTCACCCCCTAGTCCAAAGATTCATCCCAGACATCATGGAGCAGAGACAAGACATTCCTAATGTGCTTTGTACATTCCTCACCACAAGTTCATGAGCACAATAAAATAGCTAAGCTATGGAACCTTCAACAGATGAATGGATAAAGAATTGTGGTATATATAACACAATGGAATATTACTCAGCCTTATAGAGGGCAATTAGGTCAGCAATTAGGGCATTTGCTGGAAAATGAATGGAACTGAACAATATTATGCTAAGTGAAATAATCCAGTCCCATAGAACCAAAGGCCTAATGTTTTCTCCAATATGCAGATGCTATTTACAACAAGGGGGGTGTGGTTAGGGAAGAATAGAGGCAGAGGAGAGTGAAGGGAAGGGAGGAGGTCTGGGGGATGAAAGGATAATAGAATGAATCAGTCATTATTCTGTGTGTGCACATATGATTACATGACCAGTGTTAAAATGCATACTACTGTCATGTATAATTAGAACAAATAAAAAATAAATTTTTAAAAAATAATGCTTTTACAAAATTTGAAATGGTTTGTCACCCATAGTAAGTGAGAGCCTGTCTTCCCCCAAGCACCAGTATGCAGACCCACCTGCCTGGGATGTTGCATTTCTCTGGAGAAGAGACCAAGGCATGAGGC